GTTGTTGCATAAGCCTTATAGAAGCTCTGTGTTCGAACACTGCTTGTCGTTTGTGAAGATAGCGCCAACTGTCGTCCTTATTCTCCATGTCACGTTTGATCCTTCTGGGCTCTCTTCTCTCTCCATTTTTTTTATTCGGATACATCCTCTTGGGTTTAACATTTTTCTCGTTAGATTTTTCATGGTTGACCTTCTACGAGTGAACTTGCTTGCTGAAGTATAATATGCGTATGGCATAGTTCTTTTCGGTGGATACACTGACAACATGCATAGTCTTGTTCCTACCCTAATCAACAATGCGCGCATATTCGGGATGCGCTTCCTTCCCTCTAAATGCTCAATGTTGCTTCAAGACTTGGTTGCATCTGCTCCTGAACTAGTTATAGGGAGTGAAGTATTCGAACGTGCAGATCACTTCACTTATCTGGGGATTCGCATCAGCGCTTATAGCCTGGTGACTGACGAAATCTCAGCGCGGATACAGAATGCTCGATTGGCTTTTGCTAACCTGCGTCACTTATGGCCTAGTTGTGATGTCCGTTGGCTGACCAACGGACGGGTTTACTGCGCAGCAGTTCGCTCCGTTCTCCTATATGGATGCAATACATGGCCGTTAAGAGTAGATGATATTCGTAAGTTACTATTATTCGATCATAGATGTTTAAGAAGCATTGTGCGTTTATCGTGGGACAACCGAGTAAGCAATGATGTCGTTAGGAAACGAGTTATAGGTAGTAATGACAAATCCGTAGATGAAGTAGTGAAACTTCATGTGTTGAGGAGGTTGGGGCGTGTGTTACGAATGCCTAAGCACCGACTGCCTCGACGAACTATGTTTTGTGGTGTAGGAGTAGGTTGGAAGAACGTTAGGGGCGGCCAGATCAAAACATGGCAGAAATCCATGAAGTCACTGACGAGTTGACTGAGTCATGTTGGTAGATGTAGACTACCTGTTTGGAGTCCGCGAGACGAAAGTCACCAACATGTCTCAAAATCGTATCCTAATATTCTGGATTCGTCAGCACCTCTACCTTTGTCTTTCTAACCTTATCTCACTGATTTATACTTCTTGAATAATATCTTCGAACCCTAGGTCTTATTCATTACCATTAATACCTCTACTATCTTTATCGCTATTGGATTTGATTTGACATTTTCGTCTCTGTGCTAATGTGGTATGGCAACCTGAACTTATGTACATACGTACGAAGTTCTACGTTGCAACTGACTGACTATTTGGTGTCATACTGCTTTATCTAGTGTAAATGTTTTAGATTTTGAAACTTTATATCTCGGGTGTGATAGTTTGATATATATATATATATATATATATATATATATATATATATATATATATATATATATATATTTGTTATCTCAATTTTACTGTATATTGATGGTTACGTACATATATATTACGAATATTATTTATTAGGTGTAATTCTCAGTTATGCCTTAATTCGTGGTCTCATCTTTTGATTTTCATTCAAACTGTCTACGATTGAAGGGAAATCAAGATTTTTTTTACTATATTAGGTTGTATTTAAAATTATTTCAAGATATATGTTATATAGAATAATATACATTGGTTCATGATAATGGTTGCCTTTTTTCTCATTGCTGGTGTAATTTGGAGTTTGTTTGAAGCGCCAACTAAAATTCGTAAACCCTTCATACTCCTTGAATTCTGTTTGCCATTGTTTTCCAGTTGTTGAAGTTGTTCGGTTTTAGTCGTATAATACTTGACATTTGTTTCTTGTGCGAATAATTTGGCCGATTGTTTAACCATACTAGAGGTAGATATCATGTTTTTGTAGTTAAACAATGTTCTGTTGCGGAAAAGATAAACAGAATGTCTTGACAGAACTAACAATGTTAGGTACTTATTATGATATTCGCTATTCGAGTTATATTTACTCAGTAAAAAGTTTGTTATCAACACCTATATTTGACTTCAGTTTTAAAAGTTTGGGTTGAATAATTTAATAGATAGTATGCCATATGAGTGTATTAGGCTGTTGCAGTTGATCTGCATTAGCGTTCTGTGTTTTATATGCTTTCTCAAATTCAGAAATTCTTAAAACTTTAAGTAGAACAATAAAGTGGTAATTACAGTTGTTGTCCTGTGATAGATTTTGGGATAGTTATTAATGAGTTACTATCAATAAAAACAAATAAGACTTAATGTTTGATTACTTATTTCAAAAATATCAGATAAATTAGTGGAATAATTTGGAGACTCGAGATTTTCGGAGTATACATTGTGACCCATTTTAGTTGACCAGCGTTTTCAACCACTGGTCACTATAGTCATGCGGAACTCAATCACGTGGTCTGGAATTAGTAACAGTGCTCAAGTTAACACACTTTGACTCCATGAGATGATGCTTCCCTTGTTTCTTTTTTCAACTCACCTCAACCATGTAGCACGTTTTACTGGCCTCTATTGATCAATATTTGATTCCATCAACCGATTAGCAGCATTTAGTTCCTTTCTGTTACATAGTGTCGCTCACCCAGTCATTCCACACTACCTTAACGATGATTGGAAGGTACGTGCTATCAAAAACTGCAGTATATGGGTGTTATCAACTCTCATAGACCTTACTTCACAACAGTAGAATAATACAAAATGGATCGATTGACAGTTTGCTTGCCATTTGATTGTTAGGCGAACATTTCTTCAGAGGTCGAGAAAGCTGATAAAAAAATAAGCAAGCTTGCTAAATTAATGTTGAGAATTCGTCAGTTACTACTTCACCAAGGCTAATGAGATTTAAAAAGTAGGTGAACCAGTTCACCACGATTGTTTGTTTTTCTATTAATTATTTACGACGTTGACTCAAATCCGTCTTGAATCAAGACTTTTGAGGTTAGACGGAGAGCAGTACACTGCCTATATGTTTAGGTTAAAACTGAATCTGTTCGGAAGGGTTTACATCTGGGTTCGAATCCTGTAAGATGTAGGACTCTTGGATGCGCACTGCTGATGTGTCCCATACCAGGACGAAACGGCCGTCTAGTGATTGCGGGTTTCTAATGGTGGTCTAACTTGGGTCAATTCATGAAATCAAATGTACCGAAGCAGAACTATGTCATTAGCATATTAGAAGTTGGTGAGTGGTAGGAGACCAGTTCTTAAAGTTTGATGGAGTTATGTAAGAGTGAAAATCCTTGATGAACATTTGACGTTACCCATTCTGATGCCAGTTTGTGATCAGTCCAACCACAACCATTACCGTTTCGAAACTGAGCCTGTAGATTTAGGTAATTTTATGGTAAACTGCGGTGCTACATAACCTCTCGATTGGCTTAATCAAATGGCGCATTCAGGTCTAGGAGTATGATCATATTCAATAATCGTTAATTATGTATGTTATAAAACTTGACAAAGGGTAATGTTAATGAGTAGATCCACGTTTAGGTCTAAGACCCAATCGCTTTTAACATGTTTGCTGGAGCTCCATTAAATCGTTGTATGATTGTGGGAGCTAATATTTTAAAGTACTTGTTAAGCGAATCCCTCTGTTAGTACTGTGAAAAGAATTTTGTTCATTACTTTTAAACTAGGACGATCGACAGCAGTCAGCTGAGATGATATACGGCTCGAAGACTCGTAATAGCTTCTCAGCTTGTATTAGTAAAACACTCTCTTTCAAAACTTCTGAGGTCAATATATCGAGTATTTTCCTTCTTTATGAGTTAGATATTGCCTTTTCAACACCTTTAGGGTTTGGCAGACTTGTAATAATCTCCTACTCATATTAGTTGAGGTGGGGAACCGAGGATTGACTGGGCGACCAGCTTAACTCTCACTAAAATTGTTACGGAGTTTCTTCTAATCTCCTGAACTAAGGGTTTCTCATTTCGTGAGCAGTTAGACCATTAAAGCATACCAAACAATGTCATAGTTGTTAGTCCATCACATGACTGTGATTTAAATTTTTCCAAGTCTTTTATTTATGACGAAATGACAGTCAGCTCATAAAATCCCGCCTTAGACGCATGCTGGTGATGATTTTTTTCAACAGTAGAACAAGTATGTAGGATTTTTGGTTGCAGGTATATAATATATATATATACTTAATGTATTAGAAATAAATCTGTTAGCATTATAAATTAATCATGTAAAATATATACCTTGGTTTAAAATCTTCAATTTTAATCCACGAGTTATCAAAGTTCACATATTTCGGTCGAAATTCGGGAACATCTTGTTCTTTTGTAGGAAATACGCCATCATTCAATTCTCTTTGCTTCCTTGATAAACAAAATACTGTGATTACTAGGGAAAAAAATATATTTACTAATCTGAATATTTGCTTTTCGTCAATAAAGTACGCACATTTATCATCTTTAAATGTATAAATGATTGCTGATTTGGTTTTATAGCCTGGGAACTTATTGTGTACAGTTGAATATCTAAGCACAGTAAAGTTTAAACAGTTATCATCTTTAAATATGAGCTAAAATTAGTTTCTATTGTAGGTAAGTACGCTTTCAATTCACTCATCCAACTTTGTAATACTTCAATCTACTTTAAATATGATTAAACTGTTTTAAAAATAACAGGTTTGTTAAGAAATACATTTGTTTATCTGATGTTATAGTCAATCCAATAGACTTCAACAGTTTTCTACAACAATAAAGTACAAATTATGATGTATCTAATATTAAGCAGTCAAAATACTGCCTGTTCAATTCTAGTCTAAGTAAATGTTACTTATCGAATTTATAAGTAAACGTTTATTTAGAAGTTTTAGTAAAATATGCTGTAGTCTTTGTTTCTGTCAAATTGCATAGATTATTATTATTATTATTTATTTTCTCTTTCATACATATTGGGTTGAAAGATAACCTCTTATTTTATTTTTATAACTATACTTATTTCATTTTTGGTAAATTTTTAAATAGTTGTTCTTGATTGTGTTATTGTATGAATTCTTGTCTTTAGTTCAGATTGCAATATACATATAGATATCCAATAATAATAATAATAATAATAATATGTGCTTACTGTTTGTAAATCGTTGCATACATGTAATAACAAATATCAGTTAATACTACAATATCAAGTTAGAATTCTCATACAATCCTAGTCAAAAAATCATTTTTATGTCCAAAGTTGTCTAATTGATAAAGTTATTATTAGATTAAACCCCCAAAGTTATTTGCTATACTCTGAAGTTTGAAAGAAACCGAACTGTTTCTAATGCAGTAGCATCATTAGCAGATAACCTTGAGACAATTATACATCTTCATTCGGTCAATAGGAGGAATTGCACAATTAGCATACTGAAATAAATTTGATCCGATCAACAATAAAACAAGCCATACAAATTTATGAATGGGATTCATTTTCTATTTTTGTTAAATAACAAGTTGAAATAATTTTATTTAGATCCAGATGGTGAGAATATCTCACTGCTTAGATTGTTGAATTGATTGTGCAGCAATTTCATGAATCCTCTTTGTAATAAAAATCCTGTCAATATTTGGCATCTAGTCTAGTAGTCTAGTAGTACAATGATAATTTAACTAAAAGCTTTTTAACATTATCGATCTCTTTTTACAGAATAATCCACTCAATTTTTTCTCTGAGTGATTCAGTTTTCCTCAGTGGCATATCAGTATATTTGATATTTATGAATGCAAACAAAAAGAGTGATTTTTTTCTTTCAAAAAGTTCGTTGTGTACCTACTTCAGAATTTTTTGAAATTTTAATGGTTTTTCAGAAATTTCACTGGTTCTCTTTATATTCTGTTGTGGGACTGGAACAATAGTGTAGCCGGCCGTGCGTAGATGATCAATAATTGTCTTTCCACTTCCTATAAAATGTGCTGTTAGTATAAAAATTAAATAGTATAAAAAAAAATAGTGAAAATGACTATTTGAAAAAAATAATTATTTTAACTTCATATTTATAATTGATTGATGCATAAGCTTACACTGATGTGGATAAAATGATGAATGTCGATAATAACAGAAACAACAACAATTATAATGTTACAGAAAAATTTCATTTTATTGGAGCGCATTGAATGATTTCGATGGAAAATCTGTTTTTTCTCAGTAAATTCTGTTTTATCAAACTAATTAATTTTAAGATTTGAACATTATTCTATTTAACAATTTTAAGGAGAATTTTATTCATAGGTGTTTGCATTGAATTATATGATGTACATTGATCATTCAAATCAAGTTATAGGCAAAATGATGTTGGGAAAATACTAATCAGAATAAATGTAGGCAACTTAATTCTAGGCCAGACTATAATCAACGTTTAACTATTTTCAAACATGATCATTTAATAAATAAGCCAATCAGATAAGAGATGGTTAAAAAGGGAGTAAGCTTCAAGAAAATCATTAATGTGTAGAATATCATGAAATTTGGTGAATTTCTGTTGGGGAAAAATGTGAAGACTGTATGAGAATTTGTTCTATTTTTTTGGTTCTGAATGAGATTTTCTCACCAAATTATCTACATGGCTACTGCTATGTATTGTAATGTAACTAACTAACTGGATTGCCCTCAGAACTTAGTAGCCTGATTCTGTCTGTGTCGGAGACATTTGATCAGATTTTATTTCTTAACTGAACAGCTCTTAAATAGAGTTAACTGACCCGTCCATGTATTCTTTCTGTGGAACTGTCTATCATTCTAGAAAGCAGGACATCAAGCAAAAGATATAATATTATCATTCTCCTCTTCACTGGAGAATTTAATGACTAAGTGAACGTTATTGACACTGTTCAACAGCTCTTGTTTGTTGATACTTTCGTCATACATGATTACTGTATAATCTATATGTTGACAATAATAGTCTAGTTTATTCAGTATGCATTTCAAAGGCCCATTTTCCAGTCTGGCTAAGAAAATATCAGCGAGGATCGAACCTAGAAAGCTTGATCTCACTATACGCATACTTGATGTATTTTTGCTAAGTTTTAAAGTTATAGTTTATTGATTTTTAATCTGTTCGTAACACCACTGTGATCAGTGATGATTATCTCGCTACCCAAGGCCTCGGTAATCAATCTTGGCATCAGTCATCGGTGAGCACAACTATTATTTGGTTAAATTGAATATAGACATACTTAATTAAAAGTTGTATAGAGCACAATAGTCTCAGTGAAGGACGAAGAAGCTATCCAATGCTCATTTTTTCTCTAGCTAATGTCATACTTTCTTCAAACGAAAACCGTAAAATTTAAAATAGAAGTCTACATTACCTGCGCCTAGTGCAAAAAATGCTGATTTATTTGATGATTCAGCAAGTTTTAATTTACTGATTATCTCTTGTGCCATTCGCTCATTGCGTCTAACTATGAGCTCTTCATTTAAATATTTCTCCAAATCAATAAGCATTTGAATTTGACCTGGACTTAATAATTTTACTATTTCTTTGTCAATGAAATAACTTGATGTTGATTGTGATGATGATGATGATGATGATTGAGTACGATAATTGTGTTGTTTAGAAATGTTATTTACCTTGTGAGGAAATTTCTGTTGTTGCTTTGTAGCGTTTTTATCAATCATAGTTATAATAGGGGTTGTATTTATTGTTTTATTCTTTATTGAAATATAATCTGATGACGAAGTTGACAATAATTCTGAATCTGATGATGTAGATTGTGTCAGAGACATTCTAGTTAATGCTGCATTTAAATCACCGCAATTATAATGTTCAATTAATTCTTCTGTTGGACTATTTAATACATTTGTTTGTTCGGTTGGTTTGTGTTTTTGATCTGTGATCAGTGCATCACTTATTTGTTCATTCCATGTATTGAATAAAACTTTCGTATTCTTCGTGTATTTTTTATTCTTACTGCTACTATGGCTGACATGACCAGTATGATCAACATTATTAAAAGTGTTTGTTAAATTTTTTATAAGATGATTAGCATTTTCCAAATTATTCAATGTTATTTCCAGCGCGAACGTTACCTGAAATATAAATAGATTAAGTAAAACTTTTAAAAGAAATGACTATGTAAGAAGTAAGAATCATTACTGCTTAAATTTCTTTTCTAAGTTATATATTGAAGTTTGACTAACTGATGGTAACCGATATTGTAATTGCTTATTGCTCAGCGCTTATCGAATTCTTCTGTTTAAGTTGAAATATGAGCATTGATTCTAGTGAATTTATATGGTGTTTACTATACGTGATAGTTTGAGGGAAGCGATAGGGAGCGCTACACCTAGGTTTCGTGCTAACTAATGGTCTTCGACAAGATAAATTCAGAATTTTGTAGAAAGTTATACTACTTGTGTGTCTTGAAACCGCGAAACTTAGTGCCATAGTCAGGGATATCACCAGTCTACCATTGTGGCTGGTTAAATGTTATATTTCCTGAAGACCTCTACAATACTATTAGCTAGTTTGTAGAGATCACTTTTAAAATGAAAGGCTAATCTTCACCATTTAACTAAAGATGTTACTGTAGTGTTATTCAAACCTGTATAACTGTGTAGAGTCGAATCTATTATATTAGGAATCAAAATTATCCATATTCTGGAAAGTAATTACGGTTTCACGCCGCTGTTATTTTGTTTTAATACCTGACCGATATTACGTTCCCAGTCACCAATGAGAATCCTACTTATAATATAGTCTACTATTTGCTCTCTACCTTAGTGTCTCTGATTTGGCCAATTACACGCCCGACTGGCAGTAACGACCTTGAGTCGGCAGGTAGATCCATATTAGTCCATTATTTATTAGCTCCTTTCTGTGACCAGCCTCAAATCCAGATTTCAAGCAGATGTGGTTTATATACAGACTTATCGGAACACATTACATTCTAAAATGAAAAAATTTCATCATAGGGTTGTGGAGATTGTTGAGTTTCAACGAAATCGCAAACCAAACAATGTTAGATCACAAACAGAAACCTGGAAACACTGGAGGTGGTTTCTTCCTAGTGTGGGACTCGTCAGTAGTGCATATCCACAACCCTTACATGTAGTAATCGGACCCAGTACCTTCGGTTTCGCATGCGAATGTTTAACCTCTAGTCCACTGAACCGTGATCTGACGGCAATAATGTCTAATTTCAGTCATTTTTCAGTCTTGCGCAACCTCATCTACTGTCTTCGGTGTGCACTGCTTCACACCGGGTGGGGTTGAATTCTACTGGTCACAACTTCTTACCAGTGCATCCAGGCTTCTAATAGTGGTCTAACATTGATCTGTTCATGATTTCTGAAAAAATAAGGAGAAAAGAAAGAGTAAATAACAATTATGCCTAAATAAGTCAAAAATGTCTGTGAATAAGGGAGACAGTAAATAAAAAACGGACAACAAAATAGCTAGCAGTGAAATTCAGAACTCAATTATCATCTTTTTAGTCGGTCAGGAGTACCTGGAACTTGTTGATGGGGCAAATATCTCAAGAATTTTGTATACCAACAGAAGCTAATCACATGGTTTTAAATATTAAGAACGAGAAAATGTAATTGCTTACAAATTTTCACGTTTCTTTTTGAAAACGTATTTCATTGAAATCATGAATCAAGGGAGGATAGACCACCATTAGAAACCTGTAACAATGGACAGTTGTTTCGCCTTAGTATGGGACTCATCATCAGGGGTTCAGAAGTTAACCGTTCATGCACGAAACTTACGTGCGAAAGTCGTGGATATGCACTACTAACGAGTCCCAAACTAGGACAAAACGGCTTCCCAGTGTTTTCAGGTTTCTGATTGTGATCTTACACTGTTTGGTTTACGATTTCATTAAAACTCAACAATCTCCGCAACCCTATAATGAAAAACTTTATTTATTGTTTTCAAATTTCATCATTTTGTCAGCTACGAGAAAAGTAAGTTTATTTCATGTTCGTATTTGAAGAAATTGTACAAAACAGAATATTTTCATGAAGATTTATAATAATTATGTATAAAATAGTTAAATACATTTAGGTTGGTTGCAATTACGTGACTGACCTAATAGTACTAGTGATGAAACGGCATGGAATACCTGTATAGATTGTATCATATTAAGATGAACAGCATCGATCAACTTTGCAGTCTAAACTTATGAATTCTGTACATTCTTTTTAATAAGCTTACATCTCCTCTAAGTAGAAGGATTTATTTCCATGTAGTTTTTTATTAAACTATACTCTATATCAAAACAGAAAGATAGATTACCTGTTTTCTATCTTGTGTTCTTTTTAAAGTTGAGTTCTTTAACATTGATTTAGCAAGAAATTCGTGTAATTAAACATTTTAACTGAAGCTCTTCATATTCATATGAATTTTGTACACAAATAAAACACATTCAAACTATCTTAACTTAACAAGTGGTAATAATTATAAAATCTAGCTTATATATTTCTGTACTAACTCTGTTAAGTAATCATCATTACATACAACACTGAGAAACAAACATGTAAGTTTGGAATTACCTGATGAACATTTATTCGATTTAATGGTTCACATTGATCATTGACTTGTTCCACTGCACCATATTGTTTACCTAATCGTTGTGCTTCTTGTGCTAGAAATAAATCCAATACAGGTACACCACGATCAGAGATTTCATTCTTTGTCAAACTATTTAACAACAATAAAAGCCATATAGGTTTCTTTTCTTTCCAATCTTTTGTTAATGTTTCATATAAATACGATGCGTAAACTTTCTTTTCAGGTTCAATCCATGCACTAATTACATGGCGAAGATTATTTAAATATCTATCTAAACGTTTGATTAAATCTGGTCTTAGTAGATTTGTGATTGTTTGGTTTTTAGGCAACACTTGACAATCACTTAATTCAGCTAATGTAATAGGATTAGTTAAATCTAATTCAAAATAGACAATATCTGATTGAGCAAAACTTGTTTTCACTGCAGGATCAATCTGTGACCAAACATGTGTATAAGCTACATGTAATGTACCAAAAAGGAATGAAGTTGGCTTAGTGGAGATTTTCCATAGGAATGTATTTTTTTCTTTTAAAGTGCTCTAAATTATGAAAAGAAAAATAAATCAATGAAATATACGTTAGTGTTACACAATTCTAATTGAAGTAAATCTATGATGTTTCATACTTAGAAAGTTTTTGTACTTTTCGTTTAGAAAATTGTTATTCTGAGAGTTTTAGGAAATTAATCTAAGTACTCAAACTTTTATAAATCGGATAATAGCATTACTTCACTTAAGTCAGCCTTGTAGTAAGTAACCTAAGGGTTCTCAACGAAGATATTCATTAGATTAATCGCGATTTATGAATAATTAACAACTATTATGGATAGCGTACCGCTGAAAGTTCTTAAAGAAAATGATTTATAGGCTGTACTTAGTTGGAAGTGAAAAGCCGTAGCTTTAGATAATGTTACAGATACGAGGAACACTATATGATTAGGAAGTACTGAACATTTTATATAAGATCAGTTTTTGTACAAGAAATTTCATATCAAGAAACGAAGTTGTAAATCACCGATAAATAGTAAATTGGCTCCTTGATCATACTACAATCCTAATGAGGAAACTATTTTTATTGATTCTTAACTGATTCTGGATGCTTTAATTAACTATAGAATCTACTTCTTATCCAGGTTATCAAGATGTGAAAATGAAATGACTAAATAATGTATATTATTTCAAATAATATTCGTTAGATAATGTGATATTACTGAATCGCTCTAATTTGTTTCTGTTCTCGACGAATTGTACAAAACAGTGCACATGTCGCTTAATTAATTTATAATACTGAAAAGTAGGAGTGATGACATTAATATTTGGGAAAGGCGAATTTCTCATACTTCCAAGGTTCATTATTATCATCGTAATTTACAGAGAGAAATAAAATTTATATCCGTAACTATAAATTGTTCTCTTCAAAAATATTCTATATTATATACATTAAAATTTAGTAATTTTAAATAAGTGAGTCATGACGAGGTGAAGATGTAAACTATTTGAAATGAAATAGTTTGGTTAATATAGGGAATATATTGTAAAAAGTAGGAAAGTAGGACAATCAGAAAGATGTATATATAGAATACCTTTAAAAAATGTTGTGATTGATATGTTATACTAGTGCACCAATAGTTATTACTAACTCTGAAGTAGATTGGGTCTTCAAATATCATTTATAAGTTGAGAATCATAGATTGACCGACATGGAAACAGTATTCAGTATTCACATAAGCCGTAGATACTTTTGCTCAATTCGGATTGTTAAATCTTCTGTAAAGTTTATGCCTAATGTAAATGTGTTAAACACTTTCGTCGCTTCTGACAAAAATACTTATATGAGTATAAAACTTTTCTGATGTTTTCATAATTTACTTATTCACTGTTAGTTTAGATGGCTTTATTGAAAACTTTCTACATTCAGTTGGTTGTTTTCAGCACGAATTATCCTTAGGTAGAAGATTGTTAAACACCTGGGGTCACTGTAAATTCCTGTTTCAGATGCTTTACCGGTGTCAACTTTAGGCAGCCAATTGAAATTGAGACTATAGTTTACGCAGTACATTGGATGGGAATCACTTTACATTATGAACTGTCAACGATTTGGAATATAAACCATAGATTACTGAAGATTATATGTTTGATTAGGAGTGTACTGTACCGAGAAGTTTCAGACCAAAACGAAAGGATGTTAAGTGTATTCCAAAAGAAATTTATGAAAAAATCTGGAACAGTCTATTTTTTAGTTTTATCACAAACTTAATCGTTTGAAATGTTAGCAATATATGTGTACAAATAAATAATCTGATTACGTATTTAATGAAAAACAATCACTTTCTACTGCTCTGTTATAATTCCATACTCTTATTCTTTCTTCATGTAGTTAAACCCTTAAATTACTTAATGTTGGTTAACATTTATATCTTTGCTATTTCGAAACATTGTAGAGATGATTATTGTCAAAATTAATTGCTTTAATTTAAGAAATGATTATTTTCACTTTTGTTCAACCGAATCGATAATCAGTAGTGAGTTTAATAACTGACAGATTCAACATTCAAATTTATTTATTTATTTAGATTATTCACATCAACAACATTGAAAAACAAAACAAAAATTTCCGATTAGAGTTATGGAGATCAGTGTTTTGACATATTTGAAATCATCAATCAATTATTGTTAGACCACCAATAGAAACCTGGAAGTGTGGTGTGTGCTACTTATACGAACGATATAAGTAGTATAAGAATGGACGTGAAAGAAGAAGTCTTACGGTCAGAAGAGGAAAACGGAAAGCAAATAGAGAAAAAGCAAGAAAGAAATAGAGCACCGACAGGAAGTAAAGGAAGCAACAGCAGGAATGGAAGAAGGCTGGAGCGTTGGAAGTCAGGACTCAAAGATGGTGTGCAAATGGAGTGTTCAATGTAATGTTATCGTTTTCAATTGACTAAGAGTGTAATGCAATCTATTGAGCCTGCCTCAGTCTTCTCAGAAGTACTGGACAGCCGTTTCGTCCTGGTATGGGAATCATCAGCAGCGCGCATCCACGACTCCTGGACCAAAGACAAATGGGTGAGGTCACGCAAAATCCATAGATCAATCAGAGTTAGACAATAACACCGTTGGATGCCGGCCCAGTGGTCCAGAGGTTAAGCGTTCGCGCACAATAACGGAGATCCTGGGCTCGAATCCTGCGTGATGTTGGAGTCGTGGGTGTGCATTGCTGATGAGTCCCATACCAGGACGAAACGGCCGTCCAGTGCTTCCAGGTTTCTAATGGTGGTCTAACTTTGATTGATTGATGATTTCAAACGTTTAAAATAACAATTGTTAAATTAACGTTATTTATCGTGGTTTCACTTCAATGATTACATCATTAATATTCAAAACATAGTCAGACAAAATTACTTACTTACCTACATATGCCTGTTACCTACAACTCCCCCCCACAATAAAGCACATACCGTCAAAATAATTATTGGATATATTATTAATTATATATTTTTACCAGGGAAAACGTTCATTGAAACTGTAAGTCAAATGACTCATGGTAAACGATAAGGGTTATGGGTGATTATACTGTGTTCTTCAATGGTAATTACTGTTATAAAATGGAAGTGAGTGTTATTGTTCACTAAAACACTATTACAAACTAGAGAACGAATAAAAATTTAGCAAACTATCCATCAAATGGTTCAATATTTTCAATAAATTCTTTAAATTGGTATTATTTCATGACAAATGAGCAAACCTCTGATTGAATAATCTTCACAAACTGTCTGACCTTACATACATGCAAAGAGAGTTTTCATTTATTAAATCCCACTGTAGTTTTATTTGTTAGAGAAATGATCTTCATATAGTACTGGTTTAGTTAACTTCTACAAAGTTGGAAAGTGGTAAATAAATAATTTTTAATGTTTTCAATATGAAGTTAGCGGTTTTTTTAAAGAGTAATGCACCGTAATGAAAAGCTACATATTCAAGCAAATCATATTTCTTATGATTTTTCCCTCTGGGAAGTTCCAATAGAGATAGAAGAACAAATGTAGTAGGTGAATATGCATTTATTTAGTTCGTAGATTTTCACTAGCTGTTTACAATCTTTATAAAGGAATATTAATTATCAATACATTAATGCATTATTCAACAACGACTCATTAAAAAATACGATCACAGGGACCTAAGTGTGAATGACTACCGTATTCTTTTTGAATGCATAAAACTGTTTTAATCTTTTTGATAGTAATAGCTTCAGTAAACTGTAATAGGGATTCAAATATGTGTATCCATTGATAATTTTGTGCAATTGTGAAATATCACTATTATGGTGACCAGTATGTAAAAGAGTTGGCTATCTCTGAAAGATTATGACTATCTAAAATAGTTTGTCAGTAAAATACGAGATAAGATGAAAAATTATAAAGTAGGCTAAATAAAAGAAAAACCTTATCTGAGACTACTTGGTTTTGAAGGTGGCGAAATATCTGGCAAGATTGATTCTACACTGGACAGTCCTTTGAGAAAGCACTATCTAACCGCAAAGCTTGTCTTATTATATCCAAGAAATCGCTAGCTCAGACATTCAGAAGTAGACAGACTCAACTCATGTTATTTGTATGTCTTTGCCGAAGCACACAGGTTAGTAGAATAGAAAGGTTCATATTCATATCTCTGAACAAATTTCTAAGAGGTTGAAACTAAGAGGTTAAGATGTATTCAGTAGTTCAATTGCATATCAGCTACAAATCTTGCATATCTATTGATTTCAATAATTTCTATCGATGGTATTAATTTTAATATTATGATATAAAAAGTTCATACATCAGTGTTTATTCATTAATACTGATATATAAAGATTTTAAACAGCTAGTGAAAATCTACGAAATAAAGTTAAAACATGTTAATCTATATTTGTTCTTCATGTTCCACGTGAAATAAATTTCAATGCAGTGGATTTTAGTAATATTTATGGCTTCGTTTTAAAATTCTACACAAGTTTCCAAATCGATGTTCATTAAAAAACCATGAACGTAAGTTCAAATAAAGTGATTTGTTCAAAGAGGTTTAAATTTATAATGTATATTTTTTTGAATGTTGTTTAATTTTCAGCCATTTTAGTTGATACTACTACTACTAATAATAATAATAATAATCACAATAATTATTCCAGTCTACAGATTAGTAGTCTACAGATAGTAAAGCTTAAAATATATGTTGACTGAAATTTTAATCTAGCGAAAATTATGGCAGATTATTGATTTTCTACATATTTAATTGAATTATCCATTCGTATGAGAAAATCCCTTTAATTTTTTCATTAAAACTATGAAAAACAAATGAAGAAGCATTGAGACAATGAACAAACAGATAAAAAGAATACGTGATTCTCATGATTTTTTTATTCACAATTTAGAATAAAACACAAAATATCTTGGGTGAATTTGTTTTAAAACTGATGTTTTTTTTACACAAATCGTTGGGAAAGTAAACAAAAGAAGATAGAAAAAGAAAACATCATTTGTATGTGCGTCATTATGAGGTGT